TTATTATAAAATGAAGAATCCACTCCTGTGTGAAGAATCACGAAGCACATTTACATTAACATTTTAATTTCCATTTACCACCATGGTACTGCACATTATTTACACACTGTCTGCAAATTACGATGTCATGTTGGCAACTGCTAAGCATAAACCTAGCAGCAAATATTACATTTCAGTCAGCAGGAATCTTGTTAAAAGAACATTACTATTTATATCCATCAGCCACATTGTTAGGTACACCTATTCAACTGCTGCAGTTAATGAAAATGTGTATCGGCCAGTCACATGGCAGCACTTCAGTGCATTTATCTAAGCATACATGGTCAAGATGACCTGCTGAATTTCAAACCAAACATCAGGAAGGAAAGTGATTTCAGTGACTTTGAACGTGACATGATTGTCAGATTGTCATGGTGTCAGATGGTCTGGTCCATAGGTCCATACCAGGAACTGCTGATCTACTAGGATTTTCCCACACAACCATCTTAGGGTTTACAATGAATACTCTAAAAGGGAATAAATATCTGACATGTTCTTTGGTTGAATATATTTTCATTTCAGAAGTAAGAGAAGAATGCCCTGACTGCTTTGAGCTGATTGGAAGGTAACAGTAAGTCAAATAACCACTCGTTACAAGTATGCAGAAGAGCATCACTGTATCAAAACACATCAAATCTTTAAGCAGATGGGCTACAGCTGCAGACCACGCCTGGTATCACTCCTGTCAGCTAAAAACAGGAAAGTAAGGATTTTCACCAACTCATCAAAATTGGTCAAAGAAGATGTTGGCTGGTCTGATGAGTCATTCCAAAAGCATGGATCTATGCAGTTCAAGCTGCTGCTTGTGGGGCTGACACATCTATCTACTGCTATCATACCACTAAGGAAAAATTGTTTCCAGCACCCTGTTACATCTATTCTATGAAGAATTAAGGTAGTTATGAAAGCAAAAGGGGGTCCAACCCAGTACTAGCAAAATGTACCTTTTCAAGTGGGCAGTGAGTGAATATCTGCTTTCATTTATATTTGGTGGCATGGCTCTGTCGTTAGACAGAACAGCAGCTGATGCCAGATCCAAACATACTGAGCTCAGCGGACCTCGCAGGTGTCAGACATGACATCAAAAGGAGGAGGTGGGTTGCAAAGTGGCTTGCACATGTGCAGCGACTGCTGGCAGGCAGTCTAAGGCAGCTGAAGTTGTGTGCCTTGAATAGCATTTGCCAGTTGGATATGAAGAAGGAATGTAGAAGAAGCTGAATGACTACATGATGTGTGCTGGCACTGAGACCAGCTTTTATTAGTTGATCTGCCAGGACTGAGAGGTGAGTTTGATGTTGTCTGTCTGGAGTATGTTTAAAAAATGCTGCTTGCATGTTGACACAGCTGAAATAGCAACAGTCCTATAACGGACTCAATAATTCTCTGACATTCTGAACACTACACTTTAGTCTCTTTCGACTCTGAGAAAAATGAGATAGAACTTGAATATACTAGTACAGTTCTGAACAGACACTTAAATATTAATACTCCCATTGCTGCTTGTACAAAGATTTCGCTAATAATTTTACTTTCTCCTGAAGAGTATGAGGCTATCCCACATAATCTGAAGAGCAGACAAACCTCAGCACTGCAGGTTTGTCTACTACATGACAGTTTCTAAATTAGTATGTATGAGTAATCAGTCTGTGACATACACATATATACAGATGTGCCAGGATCTGGCTCCGTAATTTAACGCCTATGCACAAGCCCGGGACACTGTGTAAACATACCATTAGTCTGGTGAAACAATACAGATCTGAACAGCGTGTCAATGTGCTGCATACATAGAAAATTGGATGCAGCTGCCCTCTTTTTGTTATGTGTTTGGTATGAGCTATTGTTCCAGAGGTTTGGATTGTATTTGGTGTGGTTTGGTGAGGTCAGTGGGTGTGCTCGCTGCCAGCAATAACATCACTTAATTTTAATATTAGAAAAGCTGAATCACCATGGTAATCAAGCAGGAGGGTGTGCCTACTTTTGGTCTCAGAGTGTTAAATATTAATAAAAATGGGAAGGAGCACTGAATGAATCTTGATCATTTCCAGTTTGGGCTGTTTATCAAGTTGATATTGATTCATAGCTGGGCAACATGAGCAAAAAAGGGAAAACACCAAGTAATTTCATTAGAAGATTGACAAACACACATGGAGTTCCAGCAGTGAGGGGAAACTCCTGAACTGCTGTGGCTGACGTCTGTTTAACCTACTGCCAATTAAGCGGGTGTCTCTAATTTATGACAAACCAATTTCTTCAGAAAAAGGTTTGGATTTTCGTAAACCTTGTAACCCTGCTGTATGAGTAATCACAGTAAAATAAGGAGTAATAAATTATCAGCTTCGGACCATTTGGTGGCTTTGGGTGAAGATCAGTGGGTGTCAATGCCTATAAAATGTGAAAACAGAAAAATATAAGATTCAGTCTTTAGCCTCGATGGCCTTTTTGTGTATTTTATCTGTTTCATAGTTTCTCTGAGCTCACTTAAACATGACATCAGTTTTGAAATAATTTGCATGTATGTTTCTATTGTACATGTATTATATTGTTTAATTATAGATTTTAGCTGAGGTGCACGTGGCAGAAAGTTGATTTTGTTCATCTGGACGCAGTGATTTTAGTGGGAGAAAAGCTTCATCAGTCAAACAACTGACTTTTTCAGTCTCGGTTTACTGAAGGTTTTCCCAGCCATATGAATACTACAGTTTCACAATGACTCAAACTAGCACCCCTGCCTAACAACGAACAACGAGCTCAGCTTCGTTATTGTCAATATGCAAATTGCCTAGCTGACTATGAGTACTATTCACAGAGATTCGGGGAATGGCAGCAATCACAGCACCGTAAAGTCAGGAAAGATGTACTCTTAGGCCCTCTCCCTGCTTCAGAGATGATTGTTCCCTTTTCACATAGATAGCTTCCCTGACTCTCTGCTCAAAGCAGCCTTTCTCCCTGTCCAAGAGGAAATGCACATCTTCATCATTGAAAGACCGGCTCTGATGAGGCAGCTCTTCTGTGTTGTGATATCTGCTTAGCCAGAAGTTGTTTGGTTTCCCCAGTTTATATCTTAGGCTGGGGTTGCCCTTTTTCTCTCCTGGATTGCCTGGAGCATTCTTTAGGCATTTCCCCAGTTTTGACAAATGGCCAGCTGGGATAACCACATTTACTCAGGGCCTTTTTGACAGGATATTCTGCTTCCCTTGCCACTGTGTCTCTGTGTTGTTGTGTCCAGATGACACCCAGTTTGTGCTCCAATGGATTATAAGAGTCAAATTTCAAATACTGTACACATTGGTTTATGGTAATGGTAAATGGTAATTTCACACTCAAGTCATGCAAGTCTGTCTTTTTTTTTATATCCTCTCTGGTGAACTTGATATGTTTGTCCACTGAGTTAATGTGTTCAGTGAATTGTGGCATGTCCAATGACTTGTTTTTCACACAAGTGTCATCCGCATGCCTGGAACAGTGGCTCGGTGGTGTTCTGTGGTCAGTGTTGGGAAGGTTACTTTTAAAATGTATTCCACTGCAGATTACAGAATACATGCCCCAAAATGTATTTTGTAACGTATTCTGTTACGTTACTCAATGAGAGTAACGTAACAGAATACTTCGGATTAGTTAATATATCATCATGCTTTTTACAACTACATGAATGTGATTTATTACTATTACTGAAGGTCCGTGGCTCAGAACCGTAGTAAAGGGACCTCTGGCTAATACGTCGGGTTCCGTGTCGGGCTCGTAGCCGAAAAATAGCTTTACTTTGTTGTCTGGGTCAAATTTGCTTGCGAGAGACAGAGAGGCATTAAAAGGCTGCTCCAATGGAACTTATTGTTTCGGAGGAAAACACGAACACAGTGTACAGTCGAGTCTTAATAGCTTACTGATAACTGGGCTCGTCAGGCACTCTTCTTGGCTGCAGTGGTTATTATTATATTTACATGCTTCCAGCTCCCGTTTCTGCTCGATGACAACTCGTACTTTTCAACTCTCCTTTTTCTCCCTCCTCACGCTCACAGACACGTAATGGGTATGGCAGTCCATTCTCACTGCAGCACGGACTACACTGCCCATGAGGCTACATTCTTTAGGGCTATGCCTGTAGCATTCTGCCTATTAGCTTAGCACAACAACAACAACAACAAAAAGGCGCTCTCTCACCCAGGAAACGTACAGTCGCAGAGAGAGGCACCCTGTAACCACGGCAACCGTAACGCTGCCGCCTGGAACAACAGAATGTAGCTGTCAAACAAAACCCAAACAGTCCTGACCCGTGACAATATGAAACAGGAAAATACCGCCGTGTAATCCATTTATTTCAACAAAGTAACTATATTCTAAATACCACCTTTTTAAATGGTAACTGTAACGGAATACAGTTACTCATATTTTGTATTTTAAATACCTAACGCATGTATTCCGTTACTCCCCAACACTGTCTGTGGTAGGATATCAAAGATAATAGAGCCCTCTTCTGAGGGTCCGGTCAGTAGCGATGTCCTGTTCTAACTGCTTCAGAAAATCCATCACCCTTTTCCTGAAACCTGGAAAAGATTACTGTTTATTAGGTTGGGAAAACCTGCTGTCAGCTGAGACTGAAGAAGAACCTGGATGACTGATGAAGGATTTCTCCCATGAGAAACTGCTGAACCCAGATGAACACAATCAAATTTCTAGGATTTTCTTGACTGGATTATTAGTCCATACTTGGAGGGTGTCTTTAATTTAATATCACATATTGAAGAGCAGCAAATCCTTACATTTATGTAGAAAAGCCCTGCTGTTGTGATTTGGCTATATATACATAAAACTAAATTAAACACTACAGAACATTACAAATTTAACTGTTTAAGAGGGGTTTTCACAGGCTAAAAATACAACTTGCAAAATTAGTGAAACAGCGCCCCTCTCGAGTGTAACGGTAAGTAGCAGTCAGCCGGAGTGTGGTCAGATCTGCGACCCTGACTGACCTGTATCTAAGAGAGGGGAGGTGTACTAACAACCTGTGGCAATTACGAATTAAATTATCAGGCGCGAAAAGTACCACGTGAGTGTGAAATTGTGGAGAAAAATAAAACGTTAAATGTGAAATAAATCAGTCGGTGGCCTCATTATTACGAAAGGAAAATTAACAAAAACAGAAACGGGCAGCTATTAGCTTCGGTTTTTTGTTTTGTATTTTAGCTAGCAGTGTTGGGATGCTGTCACCAAAATAACAAACAACCAGCGCAGCAGGGCCATCAACGACAGAAGAAAACGGACTTTAACATCAAACAGTGAGTTACATCTTTCTTTCCCAATGAACTAATGTGTCTTAAAATCCTTACATAGTTAAGTTAGATTTCCTATTTTCTGTACTTATTTGTAGTTTAAGAAGCCTGCTGCTGAAAGTTTTTCTATTTGACTGGTGTGCTGTGACAGGTGTTGTCCATTATGTTCAGCGGCTTTTGAAACATCCTTCTCTCAGTGACTAAGTGTAGGGCCTACACAACACTGAGCCAGGCTTTCTAATCAGCTTGTTTAGCCTCCTGGTGTCACTGGCTCTTGTGATGCTACCCCAACTGAAAAGTTGCACTGGCAACACCGAGAAAATATGCAACATTTTACATTTTGCTGCACACATTAAAATACCTGAACTTTGTCAAGTAGAGCCTGCTCTGTCCTTTTTTGTACACAGCCTCAGTGTTATACTTCTAGTCCACTCTGTTGCAGCTCTTCACCACCTCTACCTTTTCTAGAGTGGCGTTCAAATTAAGCCTCCTTCTAAAATCCAACAATTTCCTTTGTGTTGGCCTCTTTTAGTACCGCAGGAGGAAGCCTGCTAATGTACTGTGCTGTATGTTATACTTCAAAGTGGCTGGCCTTCAGAGCAGCTGGACTCCAGAGCAGTTTTAACTACTTGCAGGACCTCTTTTCAATTCATATTATCTTTGGATCAGTAATTTCACACACATCAGGGACAGCACATGAGCATCCATCGTGTCGAACCATAATTTACAGCATTCCTTGAAGCATTGTTTAGTTATTAGCAGCTTGTCAGTGAAGTACTTGGTCAGGGGTGTCAAACATAAGGCCCCGGGGCCAGAATTAGCCCAGCAAAGACTCCAAATCAGCCCCACTAGAAACTTTGGAAAACATGAACAACCCTGTTATGAAACATGTTGCATTTTGTCTCCTGTAGATGTGAAAAAGAGTTTCCTCCTAGCTGAAGTTGTTTCCTACATGCAGGCAGTGTGGTGGACACTTATATTCCTGTCAGTCTGCGATCCTGCTGTGCGAAAATCTCTGGAGCCAAAGAAACAGTGTTCGGGTCAGCCCTAGACATTTATGATCAAGTGGCAACTTGATCATAAATGTGATAAGAACTTTATCACTTTTAATAGCATTGTCTTTCTTCATTATTCATTCTCTCCTGCTCCTTTCACCAGGTCCCTCCTTGTCATTACTTTTTTTTCTCTGTATGCCTGATCAAGACCCATAATTGTTTCCAGTGTATCTCTTGTGGGAGCGAGTGTGAGGGATGGAAGGCGGGAGCAAATCAGATCAAGGAAAGAGTCAGAAAAGGCACATGGCTTTAGTACTTCTCTGTTTCAGTCCACGTGCTTCACCAGCAGTGTATTGCATGTAGTGGGTAACCAAAAGTTCATATGCATCTATGTCACCTTTAGCTGTCTCACTGAGTTGATGGACATTGCCACAGGCCACAGCCAGTTTTAAAACCAGACCAAGCGGCTCAGTTTCAACAGATGGTTGTGTGAATTGGCAATGTTTAGCTCACTGTTTCACGTCTCTTTAATCACTGTGAAAGCATACAAACTTTACGTGTGGGTGAACTTTGGGAAACAATTGGCTTTTTACTTCTGCAGTATTTAAAAAAAGAAAAAGAGAAAAAATATATCCAGTGGTGCTCTGGAGTCAAGTTTCCATGAACACTTCTTTATTTTGTTTGTATCTTAGCTATATGTTGTTGACATGAGGCAGTGTCCTACTGGTGGTACCATGAGTTAGAGTTAATGTGCCCAGAAAGGCAGGAAAAGAGAGAAGATATTTATGTTTATTTTGTTTAACAAACAATAATAAAAGTAATAATATCATAATGATAATATTGTAAGCCATCATCAGACTCTTCACTCTTTTCTGTATTGCCCCTGTGCTCCGTGGCCCATGAAATCACATAAATATGTGGCATTCTGCATTTGATTTTCCATAAAAACTTTTTTGGATCATAATGCTGACACCAAATCTTAGGCAGTAGATGGGCTTTCATCCAGGTATCAGTCAGGTAGAATATTTGCTTGATATAATTAATTATAGAGTTTAGCCTTGGATGTCTCTGCACTAGAGTCTGGAGATACATTTTAGCACAACAGTGTGTTGATTTCATTTTGTTGTTGCATCCCTCATTTTTCAGCCTGAATCTATCCACAAATCCCTCTCTGAGCATAATTCCAGTATTTTGGCGATTAAAATGATGTATTGCATTTTGCGTGTTAGATTCCTTTTCTTGCTTGGCAGTCACAGCCTAGGGCTTCTCTCGCTCTCGCTCTGTCACCCTGAGACCTGGAGTTTTGTGAGGTAACTTCTCTGCGAGTGATTTATACGACACAGATGTTCTGGGATGAGCTCTTGGGAAGTAGTTCAGTGTCTGTGTGATGAGTGTAATGCCTTTAGCTGTGAAACAGAGGTGTCCAAAGAAGTCGGAAAGGAAAACAGTTAGGATACTGTTTTCTACTCTTTTTTTTTTTTTTTTTCTTCTTCAGAGGAATGCGATTCCTTTCTAAAAGCATCCAGACAAAGCAAATTTGTGCGGTTGTGCATTGTTAGAGTCAAAGATTTTATCACAAATGTTGTCAGATGAACTCAAGCCACACTCTGAGTGAGGTGTGTCCACACAGAAAATACTTGACTTGTGGTTTTGCGCTTTCCTCACCTGTGCTTGACCTTTCACAAGTCCGATGCTCCAGTGCAGCTGCCCACACAGGTGGTGTGGAGCTTGCAGGAAGTCATTTTTCCTCGTTAACACTGATTGGTGTTATTAATTTTCATGTAGTAACTGATTTTTAAAAGATTATCTGCTATACCTTCTCTACAGAAGCGCAGGCTTATCTTAGGTCACAAGTCTTTCTGTCACAAACAGCTTTGATTCTCATCCTTCTTTAATCAGGGGTAGGCTCGAAGCAGGACTTTTGGCAGCAACACTAACCAGCTGAGTATTTTTCAGTATCAGTTTGATTTGTTGGCACCATTTGTCCCTTTGTTTTGGTGATTGTTGGTATGTTGTTCAAACACTAAAGGTTCAGTCATAGGCTGGAATAGTCACAGGTTTAAAAAAACAACAACAAACCTTTGATGTAGTGAGGGATTTGTCCCCAGTGACATAAAAAAAATGCAAAGTGAATACTTTTTTCCAACACTTTTTCCAATTATGATCCTTTTCAGTTACATGTGTGTAATGGAGACTGCATTATTTATAACTGAACTGGAAATACAAGAGTGTGAAAAACATGATCTCAGCTATCCTGTTCCAGACTTTCTGTCAGCAGAGACCTCCTGGGGTGAGTGGGAACAAATGGTTCATAGGGAAAAGGATGCCACGGGGAAACCTCTGGCTCATCAGCTTATAGAGGGAAACATGTATTGCTTGTTTGCATTAGGAAGAAGCTGCTTAAATGGCCTTTGAGCTCACTGTATTATCCTATTTAGATTTCAGTAGCAACACTGTTAAATCCTAAAAATAGGGGAAAAATCCCTAATAACAAAGTAACAAAGTTCCTTAATAACATCTGAATGTGAGGTTATAGTTTTTTAAAGCAATGGCTTTATGACATCTGGATCTTTGTTGTTTTTGGTTGGAACGGTCTGCTCCGTACTGTTAATGAGGGAAGACGGTCACTCAAAGTGAGATCAAAGTTTCAAACATTCTTCCTTTTTTAGTCAGCTTTCTGAGTGAAATTACAAAACTCTGTCTGAGGATTCATGGCTTCCATGAACTCACAAGTTTTAAGTAGTGACTGAAAGAAAGAGAATGCCAATACAAGCAGCTATAAGGTGAGGGGCTCAGTCACTGTGGAGAGCTGGTATTTCTCCACATTGAAAGGACCCAATTTGGGTGGTTGGGGCATCTTATTTAGATGTCTTCTGGGTATTTCTTGGTTGAGGTGTTTCAGACATGTCCATAAAGGGAGAGGGCCTGTAGAAGACTCAGGATATTCTGCAGAGATGATATCTTTTGGCAGCCTTGGGAACTGCTTGATGCCCCCCTGGATGAGATAGAGGAGGTGGCCAGGGAGGCCAATCCTGGGGTATTCTGCTTAGACTGCTGCCCCCATGACCCAGCCTAGGATAAGCGGCAGAAAGTGGATCAGTGGATGAATGTCTGTCCTAAGTATAGTTTATCTGTGAGAAAACTGTGTTTAAAATTAAAGTCAAACGATGATCAAAGCCAAAGCTGAGCCTCTGTTTGCTGTAACAGATTTTTGACGTTGACTACTCACGCAAAACCATCGAGAGCCAAATTTATTTCAGGGTCAAATGGGTTCATTAATTCCATTCACTTCTTCTTTTTTTAAACCATTATTTCTGAAAGTTTCTCCCCATAGTTTATTATCAGTATTTTCTTTTTTTTTCCACATTGAGTTCTTATTATTTCTTATTCTTATTCACTTAAAATTATGAATTTATTCTTAGTCTGAAAAACTGAACTATATTCATTATTAGAAAACTGCACTCACACTCCTTTACTACTGTGTGTTCTTACTCTGAACACAAAATAAGCATGCATGTCACATTACAGTCAGTCAGGACATCTACAGGAAGCGGTGCCT